GTGTGTACGATCTCGTGCCTCTGAATGTTAAGCAGACCTCGGGATTATGCAGAAGATTTAAGTATGCGCACCTGATCTCCGCGTATGTGGTCAGGTTACGTGGAAACGCGCAACCGATTGTATTAAGGTTGTTGCACATGAAATGATCGTTTTACTACCGTCACTTGATATGAAATTGAGCATTATACATTTTTTATTAGACAAAGTGAGATTAAATAGACACTACACATTTTTTCATTAGAATACAAAAGCAATTTTTATGTTTGCGCATGAATCTTTAGAAAATTATCTTCACACGCAAATATTTTGAGAATAAATGATTGAACCGGAGTGGTTATAAGTCGTGGAATTTTTTTTTGTACTCTATAAGAATATCGAAAAAGAAGTATAGGATTCCATTTAGAAAAGTACCGATGACTGAAATCTCGTAAACAAATGATTATGAGAAAAACTTCTTTCATCATTACATACGTCTCTTGAAACAGGTTATTTTGTCATGGGAAGTTTTTTTCGTATGGTAGAAAATAAGGCAGATATTTAGGTGATCCCATTGAGCTGAGATGTCCTGTAGAATTTAAAAGCGTATAAATAATTGTCAAAAGTACTTGCATTTCGAGATTTTTACAAATGCTAACCCTTTACGCTCGAGAGGCGATTCTCAGTCGCCATATAATTTAACGCAGTAACTCGAGTGACAATTTAAGTGGGAAGCGACAGTAACCTTGCAGAGTATTTCCTTAAAGATCACAGCAAAAATAACTACAAGGCATGGACTTCAAATATTGTATTTTCAAACACACATATTGAAATTAAAAATAAAAAAATGTATTAAACATTTAAATTTTGGGAAAAGAATATATTATTTCTTTACGTGTGTATACATTTTAAAAGATTTCGTCGAGTTTCTAATTCTTTATTGGCAAAAGAAATTTCGAATTGCTAGTTTCCCGTATATGAGTAAATTCTACGAACTGAATAAAGAAAAAAGTGTACACCGTTAATTAATATGTTCTTGTTCATAAAGCCTGATTAGCAAATATTTTACTCTGAATTTTTTGCTGATACTTTTCACGTTCGTTCGTAATCTCACCTTATGTATCATTTTTCCCCTTATTATTATTAATGATAGAATGTACTAACAATGTTTGGATGGCTAAACTTCGAATCACAATGAATAATTTTTATAATTTTCTTATTATCAAAGTACATATACTTCACTTTCTTAACACTAGAACTGCCGACAATTAATGTGTAGCTACAATATTTCTATCACATGTCTAAAAACAACTGTTCTACGAAACTATATAGACTTATAAGTTAATTAATTTCTTTATTTACGTATTGTAATAGAAATTGCGAAGAATCTCGTGAAACGCACTGTTATAACATCTTAATCAATTTTACAAGATTTTTCGAACCCGTGATTTGGACTGGTTTCGTCGTTTTGATGTTAATATGTACGTCTGATTTTGTTTGACTTTTTCGTTCACGCCACGTAATACCACTAATTGAGTGGACGACTTCATTGAACTATTTTCTTTATAAATTCAGAATGTTTAAAGCACAAGTTGAATTATTTAACTTAAAAACATAGATTATGAAATTGTACTATAAGTATTTCATTTATAATGGTCGTTCCAATGTTACATTAAATTATGATTTGCATGTACCTTAATTGTTGTACATGAGCATAGCCAGGTGGTGACAGGGGGCCCCCTTGGCGAAAAAATAATAGTATGAACTTCACCCTGGCTCCGCCCATGTTGCTATGTATACGTAACATTTTTAACTATTATACTGATATTGTAAATTAACCGGATTCATGGAAATCATCATTAGTATCGCTAACACTTTTTTTCGAAAATGTCCACTTTTTTTTGTTTTTAAGAGGATAATTTTGAGTAGTAACTCATGTAAATTGTATGTCAAACTCATATAAACCATATAACTCTTAATTCAGAGTTTCTCCTGGGTAAAACAAAAAAATGTGAATAATCAAATAACATGTGACGTTAGTCTGTCCAAAAACTTCAAAATTGATTTGTAAAAAAACTCACGAAAGGTAGCGCATGATTTTTACAAAATATCAACGAACTCTTCCACAAATCGGTACTGTTTTACTCTAAAAACTTACACACATGCAGTCAAAATTGTCTATTAAATAAAATCAAATTCTTTTAATCTTTTTATTACAAAATTAACGTTTGTACCTTCTTGTACAAAATCCACTGTACGTAAAGTGATTCACTGTAAATATCACTCTTCACAGGAAGAAAAAGAAACATTAATCACAAAATAGTATTCTTAAAGGTGGCAGAGTTTACAGATTTCTGTGTAGGTATTGAACAATGTTCATCGGTGAACAACATTGTAATTAAGGATACTTAGGAATTTAAGAACATCAACATTATTGGTTTCTCGTGGTCAGACGGCTATTTTAACCCTTTCGCTACGGCGGAATTTAGTGCCGATGCGCCACCGCTGAACGATACGTACATAGTGCCATGAACTTGCATATATTTAGTAAACTTCAATCTATTTAATAAATTTAATACATTTCGAGGAACAACACCTATGTATTTAACATTTTAGCTACGGCGAGACTAAACGCGAACTGCGCAAAGACGACATTAGTACCGAAATCAGTGTCGAAGCCTATACGATGGTTTCTCAAAAGCAAAGCCGACGTGCACATGGCTTCAAATGCTATAAATTCAATAAAATTACATTTTATTCTTATACTACACATACAAAAACGTTTCCATGACGTACACATGGAGGGTTTAGAAGTCAATCAATGTAGATTAACAATCCGAGAGTAGTCACTCTTTCGTTAAAAATTATTTGTGCCGTGTAAATACACTTTCATTGTTTATTTTATACACAACGAGTTTCATCTGTATGTATTCTATACTTATGAGTAATTTTTTATTTGTTAATAGCACGTATTATTCTTTACAGTCCATTTTTTAAACAATTATCCCCCTTAACTTATGTTGTCACACTGATTCATTTCTGAGCCCCCCACATAATGTACAAGATTTTAAATATGAGATAAACAAGTGAGCCACTTTAATGGCATACCACCCTAGTAGCATTTATGATTGGCCAACGGTATCCAACAGATGGGAGTTAGTTGGGATATAGTTAGTGTTTTTGCCAACAAATTCCCAAAATAGGGCCTACGACGAAAAAGTTATGACAATTTGCCAACGAATATCCAATGTTGGGCCTACAATTATTATAGTTAGTTAATTCATAAGAAATTTACAATACTAATATAACATTGGCCCAGCCAAAGTTTGCCAACATTTAGATATCGTCTTAGAGAGGTCAGAACTGTTGCTACAACCAAAAACATGTTATTGTATTTCAAATTGATTTTCTTGTTCTCTTATTTATGAATATACTCGCAATTTTTCACTGTCGCGCTACACGTTTAACATTTGACATTTTGTGAAAATAGAGTCAGGGGACAGAAGATTCGAAATAACTTATAATAATTATTTGTAATAATTATGTAGCTACATGTATAAATTTTACATA